TTGTATTTAACCGTACACAAAAATCCAAATGGCCATGAATAAAGAATATCATTAGAATAAGAAAAAACCAAGAGGATGTGCGCTTAATCAGTCTACGAATGCCGTTACGTCCCTCAAAATGAATAAGGATGCCCTACAAACATTATGCAATGAATAGAAACATAATAAAGATGCCCGATAAAATATGAAGCGAACAAGGGCATAATTACTGTAGGGATGCCCTTCAGACATTCAATAATGAATATAAGCATAATAAATATCCGATAATATATAAACGAATATGGGCATAATTGCTGTAATTATATAAATACAAACGTGAATACAAGTAAATTACTTTAAAGTTGCCCTGACGATATATAAAATGAATGCGGGCATAATTACTGTTTGGATGCCCTTCAAAAGTATTATGATGAATATAAGCAAATTACATTAAAGATGCCCCTACAGTGTGTAAATTATAATCATGGACTTTAATACTCTATGGATGACCACAAAGTATAAAATGATTATGGGCGTGTTCTCTAAAAGATGCCCCTACCGTGTGTAAATTATAATCATGGGCTTTAATACTCTATGAATGACCACAAGTGTATCAAATGATTATGGGCGTGTTCTCTAAAAGATCCCCCTACCGTGTGTAAATTATAATCATGGGCTTTAATACTCTATGGATGACCACAAGTGTATAAAATGATTATGGGCGTGTTCTCTAAAAGATGCCCCTACAGTGTGTAAATTATAATCATGGGCTTTAATACTCTATGGATGACCACAAGTGTATAAAATGATTATGGGCGTGTTCTCTAAAAGATGCCCCTACAGTGTGTAAATTATAATCATGGGCTTTAATACTCTATGGATGACCACAAGTGTATAAAATGATTATGGGCGTGTTCTCTAAAAGATGCCCCTACCTACACAAGTATCAGATACTCTATTAATTGAAAGACTGCATACATTTATTCGGGGAATATCAATGACTACTACACCACTACCCTTCACCGATGCCCCTTTCTCCCTGAAGGTTGTACGCGGACAGTACGCTGACTATATCAGTGCCATGTGTTGATTGTATATACACATTTCGGTGAATTCGGCAAATTGTGATAGTTTGATAATTCTGCCTAGGTAGACAAACCCTTAGTAGACATTTAACTTTCCTAAAAAAAAAAAAAAAAAAAAAAAAAAAAAAAGAAAAAAATTAAAAATTAAAAATTTAAAAATAAAAAATCATTTTTTTCTACCCCCTTTGGATGCCCCTTTGATGTGGCTGCCCGGGGCCTGGGCCCCCTCCGCCCCCCCCCCCCCCTCTGCACGCCACTGTGTTAACGCCGGTGCAAAGATTTTATTAATAGCGTAGTGACAGTGATAATAACGAACTAGAACCCTCTCCTCCACTAATATATATATATATATATATATATATATATATATATATATATATATATATATATATATATATATATATATATATATATATATATATATATATATATATATATATATATATATATATATATATATATATATATATATATATATATATATATGCGTGTGTATATATGCCGATTCTATGCGGATGAAATTTCCATTACGTGACCTGGTTTGATAGCGCCGCGGCGCCGTGTTTCACTAGAGTTAAGTGATGCAATAAAACGACAGCGGTGTTTTTTTTTGTTTTTTTTTTTTTTTTAGCGCAATTTCCATACGGACAATTGCGATTATTAACTCGTCATTTCTGGATGTATGAATGGATGGATGGATGTGTGTCCGCAGCTTTAAGTCGTATCTCCTCCTCAACTAAGCAATATCGAGGACTAGTTCCAAAAGCAAATATGTTAAGCAAGTTCCAAGGATGATTGGGGGCCAAAAAATTCCCGGCATTCCTTCCTGGATTTCCCGGAAAAGCCAAAAAACCTCGAACAAATGCAGTTTTGTCCATATCTCGGCAACCAGACCACTTAGCGACTTGAAACATTTACCAATCGATTCCTGCCATAATTTAGACCAATATTACAGAAGAAAGTTTTCAAAAATATCCTTTCGTTCGGTCACAAAAATTTAATTAAGAATTTTTAAACTGAGCATCGTGTAGGCCTAGGATGATATTTTTAATTTAAACTGAGCATAGTGTAGGTTTTTAGCGCAAAAAATATCCTTTCGTTCGGTCACAAAAAATTAAAAATTGTTATGGATAACATAAGGAAATTGCGCTTAAATTGTCACTAGACTTTTTATTAACTTGTTTTTTTTTTGTAATTTGTGATTTATGGTTTGTGATTGATTTGTGACAATGACAGTAATTGTGAGTGACAGTGACGGAGCCGCTGATAATTATTGCTAAAATTTAATAATATAAGGGTAGATAACAAAATTAAATGCTAGCAATTATAGGATCATCCGACGACACAATACTGTTTTTTAACGGTTAGCTGTTTTTTTAGCCTTAACAGAACAAAGAAGGGGCAGATAATTGTCTTTTAGACTTTGAAGTCTACTTTGGCGATCAATGATTGTATTTAAAAAGCAAATTATTTAAATGTAAAAAAATTCTCTGCATTTAAAAGTTTATTATTATTAAGATTTTTTTTTTTAATTTTTTTTATTTTAATTTACTTTAACTTCTAAACAGGAAACGATAGAGTGATTCACTTGAGATCTCGCAGTTCAAGTGTAGAGCACTTTCCACAAAGAATCAACAAGTTTCATTATGCAGTTGTAAAATCTGACGATTTCCACGATGTTGCAGGCAACAGCAAAGCTGAACTAGCCAATTTGGAGTGAGTATGGTTTAACACATGTCATACTATACAACTTTGATCGCGATGTACTGTAATGTACTGAACAGGAATTACTATGCACGGATGGGGAGTTTTCTATTTTTTATTAGCAAATTAGTGTAGTGTTTTACATTATTTTTAAGAAAGTGCAATAGTTTTATAATTATTGTAAACTATTGTTCATATTATTTAAAAATCTGTAAATCAACTGATTTTTTCAAAATAGATTTTTTTAAAACTCTAAAAGGAACATTTTTTCCACAGTGAAGATTCGCCATACGATGCTGATGAAATTGTTAGAAGAGCGGAATCCAGAATTGGTAGCAGTAGATATAATCTTGTAACATTCAACTGCGAGCACTTCGTAAACGAAGTTAAATACGATAGACGAATCAGCAAACAGGTAAATTTGAAAATAAAAGTGTGCTTTTTTTCTTTACAATACCTGCGAAATGGCAGGGCCTATGAATTTAAAGACGACTACAATAATATGCTATAAGTTTATTTAGATAGGCCCTATAACCGTATTTTATTTTATGATCTGTCATCTATATATTACACAAACTATTTCTAGGTAGAGAATGCAAAAACATGCATGATGAGACGTCTGAATATCATAGGAGGTGTTGGAACGTTTTTTGCTGTCCGTTTGTCTACCAGGAAAAATTCTGGTGGGCCCCCAGGCTCGAAGCTGTAATAGACCTATTAGTGCTTTGGCTTATTTTTAAAATAAATTATTTATTGGTATTAGCATTTCTCCTCCTTCGTGCCAAGGCGTAAAATGCAACCTGATGGGGGGGGGGGGGGAGTGCAGAGGGAATATTTCAATCTAGGGTTGGGGGCCCCTTTTTAAAATTTCCCATGCCCAATTTGACACATCCATGCCATTCTTTATATTCTTAAAATTTAGCTGTCCATTGTATGGATAGTTATTATTAATTTAATAGTTTCAGTCACCATCATTATCTTGTAAAAACTTTTCATTAATATTATTTATTTTGGCTGTATTTTATGTAAATAAACGAATTCCTATTTTGTTATGTACTGCTGCAATAAATTTAATTCTTTTATCTGTCCACTTGTTTCTTTGCATTAATTATTATAATTACATATTAACATGCTATTTAAAAACTTTACCATGGAGTGAAAAAGAAACAATTTATAATATGTATATTAACCCTTCAATGTAATTAGCATTTTGTCGAACTGATAGGTCTGTAGTTCTGTCTATAATAACAAACAATCGTTTTGTATATATAAAAAAAACCGAATCCGGATTCAAGACAGCAGAACGTCCTGAGCCTACCCAGCTCGACGGATACCTAAAACACGCTAGAGAAAATAAAGGAGGCTGAACATAGTGCTGACCACACTATCTCTTCATATGCCTAGGTCACTGAAACATGTGAATTCTACTTAACTTTCCTCATGGACCGTCAGGTTCGAAATAGAATTAAACTTTTTTACGAAAACAAACTTACTGACCTTCCATGTTAGATTATTGATTGGTTGATGCATAAACACTGGATGGCAAAAGAAAACACATACACTGGACACACATATATATATATATATATATATATATATATATATATATATATATATATATATATATATATATATATATTTATATATATATTTATATATATTTATATATATTTATATATATATATTTATATATATATTTATATATATTTATATATATTTATATATATATATATATATGTTATGTAGTCATCTGTGTGCTTTGTTTTGATGGTGGTGATGACTGCAGTGGGGGTTGAGGTAACAGATTAAACTTTGATTTAATAACGCCAACACACGTACGATTTTAAGACTTTTAATACACGAAATAAACTAGCACAGAGTTCTGCCACGGAGCACAAGACACACACTTCCACACGATAACAAGTCTAGCATTCAACTAACTTAATTCATTCGCACGGCCCCAACTTCACCCTAAGGTAACCCAAACCCTGCCTAACCCCAGCAGTCCCGCGAGGGGCGGGCGCTTGACCTGTGCATACATTAACTCGAACTTTTTACGACTGGGACAACTACAGGCTATTCAGACTTGTATCTAGTAAGGGGACGTTCAATCAAATACACTAAGGGTTATTCCTATTACAGCTATTATGATCTATCTAATCTACAATTAAACAATGTAGTAGTGTGGCCATAAATACTATTAAGATTTAAACGATATTCTATCCTAGTTTTCTATCCTATGCTAATCCCAGTTATAACATCTCCCCCTTCGTCTGACAAGCTGGCAAAGCCAGCGATGATCACAAACTGATCACACTCTCTATCACATGCAACAATACAACTGATATAATAACATTCTAACATTCAGCTCCATGGCATTGGCCTTTAACAGGACAACTAATTTAATCACATTATCATAGAGATAGTTTGGGGTACAATGGCATAGTGGTAAGTAATACACCAATACAAAAAAAAAAAAAAAAAAAACATTAATAATAAAAAAAATGGAACAAATCAAGCTAATACAATGAAGATGGGGAAAGTTACAATGGCAAGTAAGACACAAAGAAGGAAAGAATGAAATAAAAAATAAACATTTGCCCCGTTGGCTTGGGTTGGCCGAGAACAACGGTCAAGTTTCCAACAACGATGGGACTGGATGGGACCCATTGTCTGACTCTCACACGCGGGGCTATAAGTTTCAACTCTTGACACTGACATGTGCTCTCGACCTATAGCAACGGGTACAGCTGAAAATTCAAATTGTGTATACACTGGTGAATAGTTGGTATAGATACATGTGGGAAACTAGAATAACAATGGGACATGTACCCTTTCCTTTACAAGGACAGTTTAGTACTACAGGGGTAGGGGGTGGGTGAAAAAACAATCGTGATTTGAAGTGTTTGCGTGCTTGTTATCATCAGCAAGTGGGGCTTACAGTTCACAATGAGGGACGAATACTACCTACCTCTTGGACGCGTCACGACCTGGAAAGCGTATCTGCTATTTTATTTTGCGCACCGGGAATATGCACTATGTTGAAAACGAAATCCTGCAGTATTAACGACCACCTTGTTAATTTGGCATTACTTAATTTTTTCCTATCCAGTGTAACTAGGGGTGAGTGGTCGGTCATTAAAGTAAAGGGGGATCCTAACAAGTACTTTGATAACTTATTTACTGCCCAAACAATTGCCAAACATTCCTTTTCTATAACTGCATAATTTTTTTCTGCAGGAGATAGTTTTCTACTTATGTATAGTACCGGATGGAGCTGTCCGTCAACTTCCTGCATCAGACAAGCCCCTAGGCCACGAGACGATGCGTCCGTGGTCAGTGTAAACGGCTTGTTGATATCAGGAAGTCTAAGGATTGGCTGCTGCGCGAAACACGCCTTGATATAGTTCAAGGTGTCGTCACATTCTTTGGTCCAATGAACAGCCTTACCCATACCAGTGCCTTTGGTTTTTGTTAATTCTGTGATGGGGTGAAGTAGGCTAGCAAAATTGGGGATAAATTTCCTGTAATAGTTGCATAGCCCTAGTAGGCTCCTAACATCTTTTTTTGTTTTAGGGATTTGGAGGTCTAATATTCGTTGTACAGTATCCCCTACAGGCTTAACAAGTTGGTGGCTAATGACATGGCCCAAGAAAGTTATTTCTTGCATTCCTATCTCAATTTTACTAGGTCTAGCTGTCAACCCGTGCGATTTTAAAGATTCTAGTAGCGACCTCAACCCTTTGATGTGGTCGGTCCAATTTTGTGAAAACAGACAGATGTCATCCAAGTATGCAACCGTGTCAGGGTTATTAATTAGAACTTTCCTCATCAGTCTGTTGAATGTGGCTGGGGCATTGATCAGACCAAAACTCATGAAGTTCCAATGGTATAGACCAAAAGGTGTGATGAATGCGGTAGATTTCTTGGCCGACTCTTTTATTGGTATTTGCCAATATCCTCTTGATAGATCAAATTTGGAGAAAATTTTCGCTTGGGATATTTTAGCAAACAGTTCTTCCTGATTAGGCATTGGTTCAGCGTCGGGGATGGTAATTTTATTGAGCTGTCTGTAGTCAATGCAAAGTCTTATCTCCCCATTCTTCTTTTTGGCCAGCACTATAGGCGCAGCATACGGCGAATCTGACGTTTCTATAATACCTGCATTTATGAGCTCATTAATTTCCTCCTGGACCTTATCTCTGTAGTGTAGGGGTATACTATAAGGTTGTAGCTTAATTGGTTTGTCTGAGATTAGCTTAATGTCATGCTCGATAGAGCTGGTCTTACCAGGGGTGGCAGATAGGGTATCCTTGTACTCTAGCAATAGTTTGGTAATTTCATTTTGAATTTCCGGAGTCATTGGTCCTAATTTTACATCTCTGTATGATTCGTTATCCGACGGTAGTGTTTGGATTTCGCATTCGTCCTCATCCTTGTCTTCGTGGATCATCGCGCAACTAATTGAAGCTGTAGGTTCAGTCACGTCCAAATCAGGGGGTCTGATGTTGAATGGACTCAGAATGTTTACATGAAAAATTTTGGACTTTCCATTAATATCTATCTCATAATCGACTTTAGATATTTGTTTTAGGATGGTGTAAGGACCTCGCCAGGCGAGCTGTAGCTTATTCTCTTTGGATGGCAATAGCACTCTAACTTGATCCCCCACCCTAAACTTCCTAAGGTTCCTACCCTTATTTATCCTAAGTCTATAGAGTTCCCCTGCTTCTTCCAATGATGTTCTCGCTATTTCACAAGACCTAATAATTTGCTCACGTAGATCAACGACTTTTTCGTATGTGTTTTTGATGTCAGGGGTTAGTTTTTCATCAAGGAGCATCGACTTCATAATGTGCATGGGTCCTCTAGGATTTGCACCATAAACTAACTCAAATGGTGAGAACCCGGTGGCTGAATGTGGTAGCTCTCTATAGGCAAAAAGTAAACAGGGCAGAAATAAGTCCCAGTTACCCGAGTCTTCTTTTGGGATTTTGCTTATCATGGATTTAATCGTTCCATTTAGCCGTTCACAAACACCATTGCTCTGAGGGTGGTACGGGGTAGTAAAATTCTGCTTAATACCCAACAAACAAGAGAGTTGACGAGTTATCTCCGATGTGAATTGAGGACCTCTATCAGAAAGTATGGTGTCAGGGAAGCCTGTTCTGGAGAAGAATTGAAGTAGGCAGCTAGCAATATCTTCAGAGGTAGTGTGTTTCAGGGGGTAGGCTTCAGGCCACCTCGTCGCTAAATCAACAATAGTTAGGATAAATCTGTTTCCTCTGTGTGATGTAGGGTTTAGTGGGCCAACGATATCTACAGCAACCTTTTCGAAGGGTCTACACGCTAGATCAGTCTTTTGTAAAGGCGCCGGCTGTGGGGTCCTTTCTTTGTTCATGCAGCGGGGACATGACTGTATATATTTAGAGATATCTTTGTCCATTCCTGGCCAATAAAACGATGTTTGTATCCGCTGTTTTGTTTTTCTCCTGCCCATGTGGCCAGCGAGAGATAAATCATGAGCTTGTCTCAATATGACTGGTCGGTATTTAAGCGGGGCTACTAGCTGGGTGTATTCTTTATGTCTGTCTTTAAATTTTCGGATTAGTGTATTGTTCTTTAATGCAAATGAGTGTTCGGTCGTTTTGGATTTAGTTTTGGAGTTTTTACTTGCTAATTTAAAAATTTTGACAAGACTCGGGTCATTGGTTTGTTCTCTTTGGAATTCGGTCGGATCCCACATAGAGTCGTGCTTTTCGTCGTGCTTTTCTAACACCTCGGTAGGGCGGTCGGAACGTTGGATCGTCGACCCATCATTAGCGACAACGGCCTGCTTTTCCAGCGTGCTTTCTTTAGTTACCCGTGATCTGGTTTGCGCTATATTGATTTGGTTAGCGGTTAACCACTCGGAGATTTGATCATCAGATGGACTTTGTATACCTTTCACATTTCCCAGAATCAGGTCATATGGACCTTTTTTGAAGACTACGGCTAAGACTTTGCCCGAATAATAAGGTGTTTCTATGTCGATAAAAGCAACCGGCCATTTGTGGGTAATCCCACCAAAACACTCTACATCTAACATTTCTCCTGTGTACTGGTTGGGTTTTACATATTTGTTTCTAATACCACAAATGTTCGCTCCTGTGTCTCTAAGTGTACTGACTGTTTTACCCCCTACTCTACATTCAATTGTGCCCAATGTTGTAATAGGGCTGCTGTTTAACACGAACGCGTGTCAGGCATTGTTTGCATGATTCGTGTGGTTTGTATTGTATCTGTGGCTATCATAGCGGGGCTTACGACAATATTTAGCCATGTGGCCAAATCTGTTGCAATTGAAACACTGAACAGCGTCCTGCTCGAGTGCCGGGCAATACTTTAGGGTATGACCAAACTGCTGACAATTAAAACATTGTGGGTACCTTTGCAGAGACGACGATCTGTTGTTTCCCGACCCCAATGGGTTACCTCTATACGGGCTTCTACCTCTACTGGGGTATGGTGGCGATCCTGCATCAAATGTGGGCTTGTGTTTTACCTGTGTTGTGAACATGAGGGGGGTAAATTGGGTGGCGTTGACCGACATTGGTTTGTCAGGGTGGGCTGCTTGATATTTCTGACATAAATCGGTGACGGTTTTTAGATCTCTAGGTTTTCTTTCTTGTAGGTAACTAAAAACATCCTTATCTACCGAGTTTAGGACTTTATCCACCATGACGAATTGCACCAGGGATTCAAAGGAAGGATCTAGCCCCGATGCCTCAAACCATTTTTCGAACGTCGTCTTTATTTCGTTAGCGAACATTTTGAAGTCGGCAGTGTCAGAGGGCCTAAGGCTGTGAAATTTTAACCTATATGCGTTTTCTGTTAAATGGTAGTACTCTAAAAGTGTTGATTTTAGCGTCTTATATTCCTTCATCTCTATTTCTGACAGGCTCTGACATGCATCTAACCCCTTTCCACCTATTAAGATTAACAACTGAGTACCCCACTGTGACTCTGGGACGTTCGCAGACCTAGCTATCGTTTCGAATCTTCTGATATACGAGTCTAAATTATCACTATTGTCGTCAAATTTCGGCAGTTTACTTAAGATGCACTGCGACCTACCCCCATCTACGTCTACTTGCCTTGTCCTATCCGCTTCCGCATTTAGTCTTGCTAATTCTAATTTTGTTTTAGATTCTTGTTCAATTTTGCTGGCTTCCAATTTAGCTAATTCTATTTTGGCCTCAAGTTCTAACTTAGCCGCTCCTATCCTGGCTTTCTCTAGTTCGAAGTCGAATTTGGCCTTTTCTGCTGCTGCAATTCTATTTTGTTCTAGCTCTAGTGTTTTCCTTTGTTTTTCTGCTTCCCTATCAGCTTTCCTTGCTTCTCTTTCTTCTATTTCCCTCAAGCGTTTGTCTACCCATTCGTCTAAGTTGTCACCCGATAGGTTGTTTTTCTTGCCTAAATTGTATAATTGCTCAATTTTGTCCATTGTATTATTTACTTACCTTTGGTTGGGGCCTGGATTAATTTGATCGTGAGGAGTTTTCAGGTATTGTCAAGGTAATGTGAAGGATGGATACTATTAAGTCGGAGAGATTGTCTCACGAATTGTACGATAACTGAAAGAGGATAGTGGACAGGAGAGTAACGACAAGCAAAACGCGACTAAACAGTAGACAGTACTAAGTACAAACCGAACGGTAACAACTAACACAAAATTATATATTCACAAAAAGGAGCCCTAACGTTTTTCTTAAAATAGAAAAAAAACGCCCTCTACCCTAGGAATGTCTCCTGGTTGTGTATATATAGACCTTACAGAGGCAGTTTAGAGATCACGTAACAACAAGGGTCAAATGTCTCTAAACACACACACAAATTACGTAGACAAGAGTTGAATGCTTGATGACGAGCACAGCACGTTGGGGGGGGGGGGGGTAGTATAGCAAAGTTAAACCTCAATGTTAAAATCACACATCAAATCACCGAGGTAGGGGTGGAAAATAATTAAAGGAAAGGGTACTTAACTATCATAAGAATCTGTTGTCTTGGATTGTTCGCGGTGGTCGTCTCAACTTGGTGGTGCTTCACGTTAGCCTTGGTGCCTTAGGTGTAGGTAGGCTTCGCCCAAGTATCAAGTAGGGATGTTGATTTCTCGTAGTAAAGTACGAATCAGATCACTTTCACAATACAAATATCCTTGTTAAAACAGAAAACAGTTCAGTTCACGTTAGCCTTAGTGTCGTTAGGTGTAGGTAAGCTTCGCCCAAGTATCAAGTAGGGATGTTGATTTCTCGTAGTAAAGTACGAATCAGATCACTTTCACAATAGAAATATCCTTGTTAAAACAGAAAACAGTTCAGCACTGGTAAGGGGTACTATCTAAGTCATATATGTTAACCAAACGTTTGCGCAGGTAGTAGCTCAATATTATTCTCTCAACATTAGGGTTATCCAATACCGACAAAAAATATATAGTATACAATACGGTTCTTGACGATGACATTAAACGAAGACGCGTGGCAGTGTTGAAGATTTAAAACTGTATAGCACACAAAAAATTTGAACGTTGACGGAAAAGAAACTAGTTAGATTTCGCTGCTCCACCAAATGTTATGTAGTCATCTGTGTGCTTTGTTTTGATGGTGGTGATGACTGCAGTGGGGGTTGAGGTAACAGATTAAACTTTGATTTAATAACGCCAACACACGTACGATTTTAAGACTTTTAATACACGAAATAAACTAGCACAGAGTTCTGCCACGGAGCACAAGACACACACTTCCACACGATAACAAGTCTAGCATTCAACTAACTTAATTCATTCGCACGGCCCCAACTTCACCCTAAGGTAACCCAAACCCTGCCTAACCCCAGCAGTCCCGCGAGGGGCGGGCGCTTGACCTGTGCATACATTAACTCGAACTTTTTACGACTGGGACAACTACAGGCTATTCAGACTTGTATCTAGTAAGGGGACGTTCAATCAAATACACTAAGGGTTATTCCTATTACAGCTATTATGATCTATCTAATCTACAATTAAACAATGTAGTAGTGTGGCCATAAATACTATTAAGATTTAAACGATATTCTATCCTAGTTTTCTATCCTATGCTAATCCCAGTTATAACAATATATATATATATATATATATATATATATATATATATATATATATATATATATATATATATATATATATATATATATACCAGAGAACTTGGATCATGTTCATCACTTTGTTAGTAGTCACCAGGACATTCAGCGTAAGGCAAATAAATTGACCGAGTATGCTACAATCTAAGGCCGAAAGATCAACGCCGGAAAACTAATGCAGAATAGTGTTTCTTCCAAGCATCTCTTCGCCCCCCCCCCCCCCCGAAGAAAGAATACCGGCCCCCAACCTCCGAATGAAATGGAATTTATATAGAAAACGTATACTTTTACCAGTGTCCGCCGCTCGGAAAATTTAGCCCTAAACCCTCCCCCCCCTCCTCCCGAAAATAGTGCTCCCCGGAGAAAAAAGTCTGGAAGAAACACTGATGCCAAAGGCTAGGAACCACACAGTTTTTTATGCTAACAATTTGAGGTAGTGGGTGTATTCATCAGTTTGGGTAGTGTAGTTGGCGATGATGGAGTATTTTTTTGTTCAACTTGTTAAAAATAGAAAAGTGAAATTGCTTATAAAAATGTTGAGAATTAAAATAGTTATGGTCAACAGTAGGAGGGTAAACGTCGTGGTACCAGGGGCGTAGCGAGGGGGGGCGGGGGGTGCGGACCGCACCGGGTGACACCATTTAGGGGGGTGACACCAAGGCAAGAAATAGCAAAATATAGAGAGTAAAACTTGAGGGGGGGGTGCAAATCGGAGTTTGAGAGAGGGGGGGGGGTGCAAATCGAAAGTTTGAGGGGGGGGTGCAAATCGAAAATTTGATAGTTTGTCCCCGGGAAGGGTCGCCACGCCTCTGGGGGTGGTGACACCATTAAGTGCCGCACCGGGTGACACCCGACCTCGCTACGCCACTGCGTGGTACCCTCCCCCAACCTCTCCGCATTACGAGATTTGGCGGTAGTTCCCCCACCGTCATCTGGCCTGACTATGCAGAGTTTTTCAGTCGTTATCCAATATTTTTTATGATGTACTGGCGGGTAGGGCAGGAATAGGTGATGTGTTGACAAGACGCTGCTATGTTGGTCGATTTTTTTTTTTGTTGCGAGGCGGGAAGGTTCAACGGATTCCTAGGTGGGGTTAATCGACCGAGGAAGGCCCATTACAGTTGGGGAAATAGGCCGTATAGGGGATAAAGCAACCTGCGGTACAGTCTACAGATGCGACGCGTGTAGCGTAACGTGTAGACCGTGACGTCAGCGGCCTATTTATTTATGGAACAAATCAGCTTGGTTATTGTCTTTTTATCATATAAATATAAATAGCGGTATCACCCTCTGTTAATGGCTCTGTGTGTATTTTTCTTTGAGTTTTATTAAGCGACACCCTTCCCCAAAAATCACGATTGTTAGCCTTACTTGCTGCTTGTTGCGTGCTAGTGTACCTGTCTAATAATTTAGCGCATTCTGTTTTCTGAAAATCAATAAGTGCACCTTCACTCCTTCACTTGAGCTTAAGTTACTGTCTATAAATAACGTCGATAGCGAACTTCACCAAAAAGATACTTAATCGCCCTGTCCCCCCCCCCCCTTTTACCTTTAAATAAGTCTTGCGTGAATGTGAATGTTCCATTGATAAAAGTTTGCGCTTGGCTGCCTGGGCCGTAATCGACGGGGTCTCTCGTCACTCAATACCCTACGCCGGTGTTGGTTTTATGGTTGTTTTGTTTCGCTTTATCATTTGTAATCTACGTGTTTTATTGAATACAACACAATGTTTCATTTAGAAACAACCTGAAAAGGTAGGAGTCTTTAAAATTTTAAATGTAATAATTAGGCTTACAATTAATTTTTTTTCATAATTTTAAATCAGCTGTATCACGATATTATACACCAGAAAAGTATGTCGTATGTTATCAAAGAATTGAAAAAAAAACAACTCGGTTTTTGAAATGTTACAACGCTTAGTGCCAGCAATATATTGTCACTACCTGTATATCTGTGTGTAGGTATAAGCGTGTGTATATCTTGGTCTCTCGGTGTATGTTCATGTTTCTGTGTCTATATGTGTGCTTTTGTGTGTTTGTATGTGCGTTTGTACGTATGTGTTTACAGAAATCGGGGTAAATTTTCTTTGAGTTGCCTTAAAATCAATAACTATGCTAAAAACTACGTAGCACAACTTAAAGATTATACAGAAAGAATATTGTTTCCCTTTCATTGTACTCAACCTCTAACCATCTGGGGAGAGGATATATAGTCAGTGGTAAATAGCGAGATTAATAAAACAAATATTTAAATTCTTGATAGCGAAAAGGCAAGTTGTCAATACAAGCTTGTAGAAACACAGCGCACGGCGGGGCGAACGAGTGTGGGGGCTGGCTGGCTTTTTCATTCAACAGATCACCAACAAGTGCCTCTCCACGTCTCAGCAAAGCCTGTATTTAACCATGCGTGTGAGATCCTTTGTTTTTTCAATATTGATATTTCTATTCATCAGGCGACTGTAAAGAATCTTCTGTAAGTAGATTACAAGTTTTCTAATCTTTATCTAGATGATATATTGGTTTAAAAATGTGACAATCTGTTGTTCTAACTGCTACCAAAGGGGGGGGGGTCATCCATAAATGACGTCACGCCTTTTTTGACGTTTTTTACCCCTCCCTACCGTCACACATCGTCAAAAAAGCCAGACCCCCTCCATTAAAATGACGTCACATCTCAGCCTACAACCCCCCCCCCCCCCGCCCTCAAAATTGCAGTTGAATTTTTCGTGAATTCGATATTTTTTTTTTCCAAAATCTTATCTGGAGTTCTGTCAACATGGAGTATTTTAATGAATTCCTATTATAATTTATTAAAACGATTTCCTAAAACGCGAAATATATTAACGGCTAACATTCGTTTTTGAACATTGCGTTTTTATAATGCAAAAGTGTGACGTAATAATCTACACGCATGTCTTACCTTCCCTCCCCCACCACCCCACCTGCCCAGCCTCGCCCAGTGTTGCTGTTAGCCGCCCCCCCCCCACTCACGCGTCGCGCAGGTAGTGAGAGGAGGTGTGCTCGTGCGATGATAGCCGTCTTTGGGATCAGTGGCAAGTGATAATATATTTATTAGGCTTGTTAGTGTTTAGTTAAGTGATCGTAACAATTATTGAATAAAGCAGTTAGACACAGTGATTTAAATTGAGGTAAGTACATGTTTTTAATAGTATAAAATTAACTTTTAAAAAATCGTGTCAGGCTCCGAATTTTTTTTTGTTAACCAGTAGCAGATATAAACTTTAAAACCGTTTACAATTCTAAGCACACTAGAATCCTAACCCTAATAAGTAAACTGCTATTTCTCAGCTTGCAATTTAACGCTTTTGTG